CGTATTCCGCTGGCAGCCGAACAGCGACTAATAAGCGAATCCTGTAACCAATCGGTAAGCGCCTATCTACCATTGTGTATACTCCCGACTTAAACCGACAAGGTCACGCGTCCGTGATCCAGTGGTTAGAGCGTTTGACTTCTAACTAAGAAGGTCGCGAGTTCGACCCTCGGGTGGGGCACCAATTTCTGCTGCAAGACTTGGTTTGGGCATTACTAACTGACGACGGCTAATAAGCCAGAACTGGCCATCCAAGTCTCCCTTGTCTTTGCCAGTAATGTCCTTCTGCCTATACTAGCACGTGGCTTTATTTTATATGGCAGTCAACATAACAAGAAAATTGAGCAGGTTGCCATAGGTGAGAGATCCGGGGTTAAGAGCCAGCCACAGGTGCAATCTACAATGCCAGAGTGGTTAGAGTGTTGGACTTCTAACTAACAAGGTCGCGGGCTCGAGCCTCGGGTGGGGCACCACTTGGGGTTGGGTATAACTGGCTGATGATGCCCAATAAGCCCGAAATGTCCACTCAATCTCCCTTGTCCTTTAGTTAATGTATTTCTGCTTATGATATGCTAGCCATTGAGTGTATGTTGGCTGTTGACATTGTTCCACTACTATTTTTTGTTTTTTTAATGTTAATTCTATAAATGCCTGCCCATTTTCTTCGGTGACTAATATTTAGATAGATAGCCACGTTGTAAGATTTTCAGTGGACGTTCCTCTGAATTTCGACTTGGCATTGGCTATGATGTTTTCGTTAGCCCTATTTTATCTCCGATTTTCTACGCCTCTTTGGATATAGGGACACGTATTCTGGGACATGGACACGTGGATGTTACCCTGGATAAGCCTGTTCCATCCTGAAATGGCTCGCATTGCCTTCGAGTACCGAGATGCTACCCTCTTCTGCGCAGAGGCCAGAGCAGCCACGGAGGGCCTTCGGGGTGCCAGGTATCCTTGGGAGAGCGCGCGAACAGGTGCGCTTGCCTCGCCCGTCTAGTCCCGTTTTATTTTCAAACCAGTGCCACTTGTTGAGCCGCAGTTTTCCATTGCGCCTTTTTATTTATTTATTAGGATTCGAAACCAGCCCATGGGATCTCTCCGCCAATAAGGAAATTCATGTTGTCGCTGACATTTCTCTGGCCCTCCAACAGTGGTTGCTTTGTGGCGCTGGCGGCAAAGCCCTGGCTGCCTACTATGGCTTCGGTCGAAGAATTCTGGACTCGATTGGCCGCTTCTGGACGTCGCGATTAGCCTACTCTGAGGAAAAGGAGTCCTACGTTATAGAAGGTTATTTTATGTACTTTAATAAACGTTTCTACTGATTTGTTTTTCAGTAGATCTGATTTAATGCTTAATAGTTGTTCATGCAGACGTGATGCCGCCCGACGAGTACGTCCAAACGTGCAACAACTCGGCTTACACAAACGCGATTGTCTCGATCGCCCTCTCCGGACCGGCCAAGCTTGCACGTCTGTTCGGGGAAACCGTGTCTCCCGAAGAGGACCTGTGGGAGCAATTATCCAGTCAAATTTGGATGCCTCTCGATCAGGAAAATCAGGTCATGCTCGAGCATGAAGGTTACAAACACGGTACGTAGACTGGGCCGTCGATACTTAACTGTCACAATCAGTTGTCTTAT